CCCCTGGTAACCACAGTCCAGTTTTTCTCTGTCCATGTGTTGGTTTATATTCCACATATGAGTGAGATCATACAGTGTTTGTCTTTCTCTTTCTGGCTTTGAATATCACTTTTTAAGAAATGACACTCTTGTTTTGTGGTTGCAATATGTCCTTTTAACTCCTGAGGATGTCGCTGATCTTTTAACAAAGTTTTCTTTTCCCTGCAGATTATCATGTGTCCTCGAGGCGCCTCCTTGCTTGTTCGGGTTCCGTCTCTTATGTCATGGCTTCCCTCAGGTGTCTGCTCATTCCTGAGTGTCTGATCACAGCTAAGAGTAGGGAATTAACTAGCTGATTAGAAGTCTGAGTGCTCGTCAATGTGGGGATCCCTGTGGGGGTGAATTGGGTGGACCAGTGGGGGACCCTGGCATCAGCGTCTTTAGCTCTCTCCACTTTGGGCTGGTCAGATTCTCCAGAGAAGGGTCATGTTATCATCTTCCTGCAGGGTACTAGCCTGGCTGCTGATTTTCTGGGAACCAGTGGAAAAAGTGGGCTGGGGGAGCAGGCTGTCAGCATTTGGCCTGTAAACACTAATTCAAGCCTCTGTTCTATAGAGTGGCCTCATCCTCACCTATGCCTGATATTCCCTAGGTCACAGACCCTCTGTTTACCCTTCTGCCAGGATGGGATCAAGGGAAGTCTTAAAACTACTCACAGAGGAGGAGGGGAACTGAGGATTCAACTCCTTTGGAAACAGCCTTTCTACCCATGCTGTCAGTCTTCCTTCACCCCATTGCCAGAGGCACAGAAGGCTGCTAGTTCTTGGGTTCTTTTGTGTGACTTCGTTGCTGCTTGGCCTTTCCCACTTCTGGTTTAGGGTTCAGTTTCCTCAGGTCTGCTAAGTCACTCTGTGTCCATCTACTTTCCAATTCTCATGTTTCCTCTCCTGCTCTCTTTTTCTTTGTGGGTTTATGCCTTTTTAAACATTTTAATCCATTTGCTGATGTTTTAGTAGGGTTTCAGGAGGAAAAAAAAGTCAATGCTTATGTTCAGTCTGCCATCTTTACCTGGAAGTCCTCCAACTGAGATTTTATGACCACTGAACGACTAAACACTGGGTGAGTTAATTACCATTACCCAGAGAGCTGGTTCTTAGTGTCACTCAGAATAGTGTACTGTCCTCCATGTGCCATCTCAGAAATCTGAGGGCCATACTGGATAATCAAGGCAGGGAATTGTGACACAGAACTGTTAAAGCGTGGCATCTGTGACATACCTGATTCCCCTGCCGTGGTAGAAGGTTACTTAGGAACCATACTGTGAGATATCAGTTTGTGGGTTTGATGTGAGCCTAAGTTGTCTGTTTGTGTCACTGCTGTCTGTCTGGTCTTGAACTCTAAGTCTCTGGAGCCAAGGCAAGCACTTAGACATGCTGCTGCAGATAAAAAATCACGCTTAGGGGGTTAAGATGATCTTTTGTGTTTCATCGTCACTGCCAATCAGAGCTAGAACACTATTGTCTTCATGTGCTTTTAAGTGCCAAGCGTTTTAGAAGGTTAGATACACTTGGGCTTGAACTCTGCAATACTCAATTATGCTGTTAATAGTTTCTACCACTGCATTCTCTATATTAAGGAAAGATTAATACCTGGGGCATAATTATCAAATGTGTTTTTGACAGTTTTTGATGATTTCATTGAACAAACATTTACTGACCACCAACTGTCTGTTAGGTGCTTCTGTGTCATCACACGTGATATGTAACGTTGCATATTGGTAGAAATAGAATTCAGTCTAGTTTTTTAACCACTGTCATAAATATTTTGAAATATTTCAAATCTTTTTCCTTTTTATTTTCTTAGTCTTGCTGATAATGTGAACTATTGGAAGTTCTAGGGGAAAAGGCACACGTGTGTCACTCCCTCCCCCACCCCATACAGCAGGCATCATATTTTCTCAAAAAAAGTTGTATTCTCAAATTAGCCCATTTTTCATCTTATGGACAATGGTGACTAATGTGTATGGTTTTAATTTCTATTTCTTCCAGTACCCTGGTCAGGTTGGGTCTTTGGCTTTGAATGTTTTACGGTGATCATTTAGATTATATACAGTAACAGGGTGAAAGCATCACATTAGTGTGCCATGACCCTAGACTGCACGGCATCAATGCTGCATTTAGAAACGATTTGTATTGTTTTTACAAATCAGGATGTGAATTACTAGTTTTTAAAAAATATTTCATCTTGAAGCTGAAGGAGGATTAAAGTAAGTTTAATCAGCTTGATGAGTTTGCTTAAGCACATTCAAAAAAGACAAGGATATATTTGAAATAAACAATAGCTCAACCTTAACCTTAACATACAGCTTAAGAGCCCGTGCTCTGGGGTCAGACAGGCCCCAGATTGTACCCAGCTCCTCCTCCGGCTAATTGTGTGATCTTGGGCAGGTTACTTAAGTCCCCTAAACCTGCATTTCCTCCTCGGTAAAATGGGGAGATTAATAATATCCAGTTCCAAAGGCTGTAAGGATTAAATGAGATGATGTATATAAAAGCTTTTCACATAGTCCCTGGCACATGTAAGTGCTTCTTAAATATTAGCTATGATTAAGACTCATTAATTTTATTCATATTCCTTAGATACTATTCCTATTTCCTTGACAATGTTGAACAGTTCAATTGAGGTAGGTGGATAATTTATTCTTAAGCATTTTTATTTCTAATTTTTTTCCATTTTTTCTTTCATTACTTCCTAATGCTTTATGTTGGTGTAATAACACAAGGGTGTAGACCTCTCTAGGGCTGTTGCTGCTTTTGCCCGACCCTATTGAGCAAGGTTTTGGAGTCTGAAGTGAACAAAGGCTCTAGGGTTATTCTCTGAAGATCACCATAGTTTGGGGCCACCACTCACCTGACGAGGAGGAGCAGGTCCAGATAGGCCGTTCTCGCCATGTCTATTTGGGCCCCAGACAGGAAGCCATCGTGGAGAAAGTCACCCGCGTTAGTCAGGATGCCGTGTAGAGCATAGAGATCACAGAGGCGTTTGAGCGCCTGCTGAACTGCTGGTTCACTTTCTAGTTTCTCCAGAGCTTCTGTAAAACTCTTTACAGCGACATAGTAGCAGTGTGCCTACAAAGACACAAAGATGCATTAGCTGCTGATTTCTGATTTCTGCCTCCAGAAGTCGTCCAAAAGCATGGCAAGGCTGCTGGAGTAAGCTTGCCGCAGCCCTGTGTTTCCCAGCAGGCTGACCAGCAGCCGCCTTTTCTCCTAGCTCTCTGTGGTCTGACTGAGCCTTTTTGATGGTGTGTGTGCACACACGTGTGTTGGGGGCTGATGGGCTATGGAATTTGGCCCTTTTCCTCATTTTGCTTGGGGCAGTTTCAAGTAGGTTTGAAAGTAGAAAGAGTGCCGGAGTACTGGAGGCTGGCCTGGGGACTGTGGAGGATAGCACCACTTTTCTCAAGAAAACAGCTATTCTTTGTCTGCCATGTTCAAGGCAGTGGTGTGTGAGTGTATGTGTGTGTGCACCTTGGGGTGAGAAAGTAGGGGTTCAAGATGTACATGAAATTTATCCCAACCAGAGTATAAACTCTTGAGGTAATCAGGGCTGTTATTAACTCCTGCAATAGTTGGGTTCTGTCAGTGGTTAAAATAACCAGTTGGTAGGTGACCACTGCCCTCAACCTGGTGAGAGCAGGTTCCCTCTGCCAGCCAGGTTCCTTCCCTGGGACTCCCTCCTCCCGACAGCCCAGCAACTAAGGCATTAATGGCCGACCCAGCAGGAGGCCTTCAGGACCCTGCTTCCCTTAGGCCTGAAGTCCTTTCTTTCTTTTTTTTTTTTTTTTGAGGAAGATTAGCCCTGAGCTAACATCTGTTGCCAATCCTCCTCTTTTTTGCTGAGGAAGATGGGCCCTGGGCTAACATTCGTGCCCATCTTCCTCTACTTTATATGGGATGCCACCACAGCATGGCTTGATAAGCAGTGCATTGGTCTGCACCAGGGATCTGAACCCACAAACCCCAGGCCACTGAAGCGGAGCCGGCGAACTTAACCGCTATACCACCTGGCCAGCCTCCTGAAGTTCTTTCTGATTGGTCAGTGCCCCTGCCCTACTGGTTGTTAAGTGTTTTGAATATTCCCCCTCTCCCTAAGACAAACACACATAATTATTTTTATTAGATAGGATCTATGATTTCCATGGCTGGGGGGTTGGTGGCAGGGGTTGGGGGAGGAAAACAGGTCTCCAATTTTTACCTGCATACAGATTACCTTGGGATCTTGTCAAAACGCAGATTCCGGGATAAGGGAATCTTTGCATTCTAACAAGCTCTCCAGTGATGCCCCTGCTGCTGGTAGTGACTTTAAGTGGCAAGGCTTAGAGTGTCTTGAGGATTCAAAGGAGTTTACCCAGGGGAACAAGGAATGGGGGAAAGGTCATTCCTGGCAGAGGGAACTTCATGTGCACAGGGCTGTACTTGCAGGAGGCTGCAGGCAGTTTAATGAGGCTGGAGCACTGGAGTATAACGAGGTGGTAATGACACCCAGGTAATGAAGGGCTGTGAATGACAGGTTGGGATTTTATTCTCTAGGGTCAGGGAGCCACCAAAGTCTTCAACAAGCCAGTGACCTGATCAGGTTTCTCACTTGCAAAGAATCTGCCTTTCCCAGGGAGGCCTCGCGTGGGTGCTGACAACACCACTCTGCCGCCGGACCTTGTGTGCTCACAGCCATTCTGATGGGTGAGGAAGAGGAGCAGCTGCGCTCCGCTGCCCCCGCCGTGTCCAACGGTCCTTGGTGCTCACTGGAGACTCGCACTTTCTGCAGCTAGGCTCTGCTTCCCTGTTCTAACCCCAGGGCCGTATCCTTAAATTCTCAGGGCCCTGGGTTGAGGAGTGGAGTGATGAAGAGCTGCTGGAGGGCCTGGGCCACTGTCTTGGAAAGCAGGATGAGGACCAGAAAGAGAAGGTGGCCTCCATGCTTCAGAGAGAGGCTGAGCCAAACCTCGGCACCATGCTTTGAACACAGTGAACTTTATTTACTTTTGTGTGTGTGGGTTTAAATCTTGCCTCCTGTGTAATTTGGGGGTGGGAGTGGGATGTAAAGCACTTATATGCTAGGTGCCTCTCTAAATTTTACATGTATTAACTCATTTAATCTTCATAATAATCGTATAAGGTAGGTACTATTATTAGCTCCGTTTTGCAGATGAGGAGACTGAGGCATGGAGAGATGAAGTTTTTTGCCCAGGGTCACTTGGCTGGTAGGTGGTAGCAAGGAGATCCAAGCCAGAGCATTCCGCCTCCCAGCCAGTTGAGTCTATACTCCTAACTGCTACCCTGCATTGCCAAAGCCACCAGAGACTGAGGGTGCGTTATGAGTACCAGCGTTTGCTCCAGTGGTCCTAGGGACTGACGTCTCTCCTGGGCAGGGCCTGAGATTATAGGACCAGAGCCCAAAGGGCTCTTCCATGCCCTTTTGTTTTAAAGACGGGAAGTTAAAGCCCAGAGAGGGAAGGACTGCCTGAGGTCGCACGGCAGGTCATGCACAGAGCTGGGCCCAGAACTAAGGCCACGGCTTGCTGCTGCTTGTCCACCCCTCTGCCACTGTTCCCTGCCCCCTTGTGTGGCTGTCACTCTCTACTTGCACATTTATGGTTTCCAGATGGGACCTGGTTGTGTGCTTGAGGTTTCTGTAGAGGAGACGGCCTCCCAAAGCACAAAGCCCAGGAAGTGCACACTTGCCTGCCCTTGACTTTGGGGACTCAGCTTGGGCACCGCCTCCCCAGAAAGCTGCAGGGACTTATTCTTCTCCCCCAGGCTGGCTGAGCTTCCCGCCCTGGCCTTCCCCAGAGCCTGGGGCTCACCTCCCTCACGCATGCACAGTGGCTTCCTGAGGGCACGGGGGAAAGGAAAGCAAAGCGTCTTAGCTCACTTATTTCCTACCTCTGGGACTTAACTCCACTGAGTTCTACTTCCTCACCCTTGTGATGGAGATTATGCTGCTCTCCCTCCCAGGGTTGTGTGTATTAAATGGAGTAACCTTGGCAAGCAGTGTCTGGTCCGTTTGAAGGCAGGACATAGGTGTGGAAAATGGGTGGATAATGGGCGGCTGTGGTTCCTTTTTTTGGTAGTCTGGTGAGAGCACAGCCTTGGCTCACCCTCCTCTGTACTGAAAGGACATTTAGCAGAGCAGGCAATGCTCCTGCGGTGGACTGAGCAGAACCGAGGGTGGCGGGTGTGATGGAGGTGGTGGGTCTCCAGGTGGCACTCAAGCCCAGCCTGCCCCACCAGGGCCACTGCAAAACACTCCTTCAGGCCTCTCCTGTGCTAAGGCTGCCATTTTCAGGGCCTGAGGCCTGAGGATTGAAGTGATCCTGTTGGTTTTCCAGCTGTGGGTGGGGCCAGAGTCCCAGCTGCCTAAGCTTGAGCTCGGGAGTCATATTTACCTCTTTGCCACCCCATTACTCTCTGAAGCTTGTCCGTTTCTTCTACCCCCTTAATATCTCTGCATCTACCCGCTGCTTTCCATGCCCTCTGCCGAGGTCATGGTCAGGACCACCCTCAACCCTCACCCAGACTACTGCTGCCTGCTCCTAACTGGCCTCTAGCATGCAGTCCGTTCTTCCTCCTGCAGCCTCCGTGATCCAGGATGAAACTGATCACTTCACTTCTCTGATACAAACCCTGCAAAGGCTTCCCATTGCCATGAACTTTTCACGGGCCTGTCTCTTCTCCTCCCCTCCCTTCCTTCCTCTCCTTGTTTCCATCTTCCTCTGTGAGGTCCTCCTTGGGAGAATTTGCATTTCCAAGCCGCTTCCTTTTGCACCGGTTGTTTCCTTTGCCGAGAAACCTTTCTCTCCAAAGCCACAGCCTCCACCCTTTGCCTGGCTAATTTCAGCGCATCCTTGAAGTCTTGGCCTATATGCCACTTCTGGGAAGACTTTCTGACTCCTTGGGGTGGGTGGCGATGCACCTGCTCTGGGACCCCATGGCAGCCCTCGTTTCCCCCTCCCAGGGCTTCCTTGATTGTAGCTGTGTATGGGCACTGTGGAGCCCCCAGTACGCAGCCCTATGCCTGGTGTTGAGTGGGTGCTCAAATATTTACTGACTGACTGTACATTATGCACAAACACAGAGCAGTGGAAATTGAATGCGACATCTAAGGATTGCCTGTGGGCTACAGGGAGACTTGACCTGCTTTTCTTTCTGGGAGGAAATATTTGAACAACCTGAAGCAAATCCAATAACACTGCCTCATTACGTTTTTCCCTAAGAGCTGCCAGCAAGATTGCTTTGGAGTTAAGTCCTTTAATTAAAATACCCTGGACTAAAGCCTTGGGAGTGAAACGAAGGCAGCTGCTGAGCAGGGCTGGGGACTAAGGGCAGAGCTTGGATGTTCCCGGCAGGGCAGCTGCTGGGGACACAAAACGGGCCCTTTTGGCTTCAGCTGACCGGCAGCTCACCTTAGCAGCCTGGAGGTGGATGACAGTGGTCCTGTTCCAGGCCTCGTGCTCGTCAGCCCCGGATCGCATCAGAATCTGTATGTGATGCACTGAGTCCTTTGTGAGCCTGAAGGCCAAAGAGAAAAGGGTCAGCTTCTTGGCTGAGAGGGAAAGAGACTGATGGAGTTTGGTCCCAGGCTGCCTGGGGTCCCTCAGAAGTAGAAGTAATTCCTGTTTATTGACCACTTATATGTTACAAGGAAATGCTTGATATACATTATCTCTTTAACCCTTTTAAGGACAGGCATTTCCAATTTAAAATGGGGAAACCTGAGTCCCAGATAGGTTAACCAACTGGTTAATGAAGGCACCTTAAAAAAGAAAAGCAAACCAATTCTTGTCCTCTAAACCACTCAATTGGTCATTTGCCATTTAGTTAACCTTTATTCTTTTAGTTTCTATTCTGTGCCCATCCACTCATGACCCTTGGAATTTGTGTGCAAAGCAAACTGTTTATTAAGCAGTATTTATTTTGCTTTGTCAGGGAATAGATAAGCAGATGTCACATTGAGTTCCAAGCGAAAAGCAATATCATGGCATTTTAATTACCCTGAACAGCCTTATTTTGCCTTCCCGCCTTCCCCCAACTAAAATGTTAGCTCTGTGAGGCCTGGGTGTTTTATCAGACAGGTTTGTTGATAGATCCCTAGTACCTAGAACGGAGCCTGGCTTACTGTAGGCTGTTAATAAGTATTTATGACTCCATAAATGAATGTCCCAAGTTGCTTGTGATCTTGAAATAACTATTAACTATCCCTGGGACCACAAGTTGGGATATAAGACCTCTTGTTATATACTGAAAATATTTTTTCTGGGTGGTTTTTGGTGTTTCAGTTGGGGAGGGTTCAGAAGGTTTCCTTTTTAGGTAGTTAAAGCTCTCCATCTTTTCCGTGATGGTGTCTGGGTTTGGCCAGGACCTCTCTATTCCCAGCCCCTGGCACATTTGGATGTTCTTGATACACAGTGGGTGCCTGACGATATTTGTTGAATGACAGACTGGATGAGTCCTTGGTCTTATCCTTGTTCCCTGGACCCTACTAAACCCCAAATAAACTAATTCTATCCCTTGATATAGTCATATTTTTGAAATTATTTTAGATTGTGGACTATTTCAAACCTAGAGTATGGCTTTATTTATTGGTATTTACATACTGATACGTTCATAGTATTTACGTATGGGTACATTCTTTGTATTGCAAATCACAATAAGAACCTAAAGATATTAAAAATTCCTTGCACTGGCCACAGAGGTGATGTCCTTCTACTAGCTTGACCAGAATGGGGACGTGATGGTGGTCCATGGCTGATGGGTGTGACTTCCCCTTCTCTCTGCCCACGGTGGCAGAAGTGAGAGGACTGAGGAGGTTGGGGAAGGGGGTAGTTTTGGGAAGAGTATCCACAAATGCCCATCCAGCCAATCCCAAACGCCCTAGCGGGGGAAGGAGCCTGCCCCCAGGTGGGACGGCTGATTTCTCAGCTCTGGCTCACCTGGCTGCCACGTGTGCCCAGGCCTTGGTGTAGAGCTCTGGGTGGAGGAAGTCAGCTGCCCTCTGGGCCGGACACTTGGCCAGGTAGGGTGCAGTCAGGTATGCAACAGACTGAGGGAGAGACCTCTGCGATGTGGGGCCTGAGGATGCCTGAGCCTGCTGGTAGCTCTTCACCAAAAACCTGGGGGTGGGGGTGGAGGCAGGGGAGAGGGTGAGGAGCCCTGCGGGACAGCCCAGTACCCCTCCCCCAGAGACATGCGCTCTTATGCTCCCTGTGGGAGAACCAGGGCCACCCAGTTTCTCGCCCCGGTCCCCCGCCCCCCAGCCAGCCCGCTATGGGGCCCTCAGAAAAGTGCCTCCTGAGACTGTCATTTCTCTCACAATAAATGGGGCTGAAGCTGCTGGGGCGGAAGCTGGCAGACACTCTCAGATCCTGAACATAATCCCTTTGATATGTGATCAAACAATCTTTTCTGTTGGTTAGGATCTTGTGATTTAGGGATATATGATGGGTTGTACAGTGACTATGGAAATTAAAATGCTCTTAGCTGGAAAAAAAAAAAAAAAGGATAGATGCAAGAATGCTAAGATGATTGGGAGGATTATGGGTGACCCTGAGCTTCCTCCTTGTGATGATCCGGTGGTTAGAGGCTCTGGGCTCAGACAGCCGCGGATTCCCATGTGGCTCTGCTGAGACCCGTGTGATGCTCTAGAAGTTACTTCACCTCCCTCAGCCTCAGTCTCTCTACCTCTAGGTGGAGATGATAACGCTCACCTGATAGGTGGTTTGTGAAAACTGAATAAGATTTGTCAAGTGCTTGGCACAGTGTGTCTAATACATGATATTGTATTCCTTTTGTCATTTGGAAAAAACCCCAATGTTATATATTAAAAAAAATTCTAAGAAATGTTATACAGCATATTTGCCAGTAAACCTTTCCTCCCTGCATGGAGAAATCACCGGAGAATAGGTAATGTGAAAGGCCTCGTCAGCCATAGTACCCCACAGACATAGGAGAGATGAAAAGACACCGCCTGGTGGGAGGAGGCCGGCTCAGCCGTTCCTTCCTGCCTCCCAGGTTGCAGCCTCCCCTGTGCTGGCCCTGCGCTAAGCCTGTGGACACGGTGGTGAGCAAGGCAGGTAAGACTCCCTGCCCTCAAGGAGCTCACACAAACAAAGATGCGTGCAGATTGTGCTAACTGCTCTGAAGGAAACAGGACGGTGCTGAGAGGGAGGATCAGGGTGGCGTTACTCTAGATGGAGTGGTCAGGGAGGGCATCTGAAGGAGGCGTCATTTTAGCTGGGGCCTGAGGGATGAGCAGGAGCCAGCGGAACAACAATAAATTGGGGGTAGAGAGTGTTAGGGGGAGGGAAGTGAGTGCGAAGGCCCCATGGTGGGGAAGTAACAGTCTGGTTGGCTGGAGGTTGTGAGAGCGGGATGGAGAGGATAGGGACCACAGTGTGGAGGGTGGCATTTTCCTATGAGCAGTGGGAAGCCACTGAAGAATTTTAAGCAGGGGAAAGGTGTGATCTTCCCTAGGCTTCGAGAAGATCCCCCTGGCTGCCTCTGGAGAAGGACTGAAGTGGGGCAGGGCGGAGGCGGGAGAGCAGGGAGGAGACAGACGCCATTGTCCAGGGGAGGCCATAGCAGCCTGGCGGGGAGCTGCAGCGTATCTGGGGAGAAGTGGATGGACTGGGGACAGGTTGTGGGAGCTGGGCAGTCCCTGAACAGCGCTCCCCAAAGTCGGCTCCCTCTGTGGGCATCAGACAGATGCTTCGACCCCAGCAGAAGCCCCCAGGGTTTCCCAGGGGCCAGGCAGAGACCTGGGCCAGCCTTGGCCTTACCTGGCCACCTGCAGGTAGAGCACCGTGTTCTCACCCTCGAAGGTGCAGGAGGCTGTCACTTTGGTGACCAGAGATGGCAGGCCGCTCAGCTTTGAGTAGCCGTGTCCGCCACAGGCCCTGCGGCACAGCTCAGCCCCGTGGGTGCAGAAGTCCGACACCATGGCCTTCGTACCTGCACCCAGTGCATGAAGCTGCAAGAACAGGAAGGGGGTCAGGCGGTGGAAGGGGGCCCTCCAGTAACAACCATGCACTCATTGAGCACCTACTGTATGCTGAGTACAACTCTGTGAGGTCGGAATTGTTTCCTCAGCTCACGGCTTTATGAATGAGAAGGCTGCGACTCAGAGAGGTTATGTGACTTGCCCAAGGTCACACAATGACGCCATGTAGCTGCAGGAGCAGTAAGGACAAAGGAAAACTGTCCAGGCCACTGTCTCCAGTATCTCGGGAAGAAGATGCTTCCTGGATGGGGCTCACTGTTATCCAGGAGTTATGGATTTTGCTGGCAAGCAGAGGTTTTGGAGAGCTGGCCTGTGAGGATGGAGGTCCACCATCAACCCACTGTCTGGGGTTGTAGAAGGGGCTGCCAGGCAGCAGACCTGGTTTGAGTTTTTGATTCTTGAAACCTCCTCAGACTTGCAAGTCCTTGGGAGGAGGGTCGTGTCCCTTAACCTCCCTGTAACCTCCCTCACTTTCCTCATCTGTAAAATGGGGATCTGAATGGTGGCTGCTGTACAGTTCAAGGGCTAATGCAGCAATGCTTATAAAGCACAGGGCCCGGACAGACGGACTCTTAGTGTATACGTGAGCCCACAGTCCTTGATCTGAGACCCTTGGGGCCAGATGCGTTTTAGAATCAGATTATTTTTTGGATTACAGAAAGGTGAAGTAGGACATTTACAGTAGATCATATATAATACCCCTAGGGGAGGCTGGGGCAGCCTTGGTGATCAAACACATTAATGTTTCTGCTGCAAAATGTACTCTCACTCAGTGGGATAAATCAGGTCAGTTCAGGTCAAACTGTGCCACCAAGTGAGTTCTAAACGCCTTTTGGTTTCCAGAGCTTTCCAGGTTTCAAATGCACATCAGGCATTGTGCACCTGTGTTCTATATATCATGTGTGATTATCTCCTCTAACGTTTTTGGAGCTTTTTGGGGGCCAAATGGGGGTGGATTTATATGTCGGGGTACAGCTTGCCCTGGGTGCCCTGGGATGTTGGAGGGCTGGGGAGGGGAAGGGACGGGACCCATGGGAGTAGGACTGGGGCTGCTCCTCGGGGAGGACACTTTCAGCCACCCTCCCAGCTCCCGCCCCCAGCAGAGAGCAGAGACCTCAGGCAGGAGGCTGAAGTCTCTGTCCAGAATGGCGTCGTGAGAGCGATGGAAGAATTCCAAGAGGCTTCTCGCCAGGAAATGGAAGGCATAGGCCGTGGCCAGCTGAGGAAGGAGTTTCTGCTGCTGCGTCTGGTGGTCTAGGATTTTTGCCTCTGGCTCGCTGAGGGGAAGAGAAGCAGAAGGTTTAGAAGATGGCTACAAGCCACATCCACCTTCCCGTGTCCCTAGTGCCATAAAAACTCTAAAACCTGAGTTTTTATATCCTATTACAAAACTTGACCTGAACTGACACGAGGCTTATAATAATCTTGTAAAATCCCATCTCACATGAATATCCACTCATATCACTGCAGAAATATTGACATGTTTGCTTATGGGTGCTGCCCCTGTGGGAGAGGTTTATATAATTACTGCATATGCACCATGTTATCCAGCGGAAATCTGGAAAGTTCTGAATTCCAACACATCTAGTCCCAAGGATTTTGGGTGAGGGGGTGTGGCCCTATACCCCTGATGATTTGAACCTTGACCTTTCGCTGCCCTGGTGCACTTGCTGTGTGCTGGGAAATATGTTGAGCCTAATCAATAACTCTGAGGATGTGAACGTGGGTCTGATGGAATCCCAAGGTAGAGACTGCGTCTGCCTTGTCTGCGGCTGTGTGCTCAGTGCCTGAGACCATGTCCAGCATATAGGGGCCCATGGTAACTATTTGTGGATGGAAAGAAGGTGTGAATGTGAGAAACCTCCCATGGCTGATGGGGAGAAACCTGGTTCTCTTCTTTGGGCCAGCAGCCCCTCACCTGGACACAGGGTATTATAACCATCTTTGGGACACTTCTGCCATCCAGAAAACTGGGCTCCAGACAAGACATCATCAGCAGTACCTTCTTCCCAGTGCCTCTGTCCTCTGGAGGAGACTTAGCCTGGGATTCTGAAGCTCAAGCCAGCCACGGGTGCCGTGGGTTTGCCAGAGGAAAGGACCCTGGGCTAAGGGACTGACATGCTTTATTTCATTTCATCCTCAACACCACCCTGCAAGACTGCTCCTCTCGTGCCTATTTTGTCGATGAGGAAGGTAAGGGACAAAGAGGCTTGTGGCCAGCCTAAGCTCCCATGGCTAGCAAGTGGCTGAGCTGAGTGTGGCACCCAGGTCTGCCTGGCATCCGACCCTCAGTCCATTTGCATTAGAGTCCTGGATCCTTGAGCCCACGGCGTGAAACACCACCAGGCTCTGGGACTGGATGTTCTCAAGTTCCAGTCCTGGTGACCTCGCTCTTCACTTTACAAGTAAGAAAACTGAGGCCCAGAGAGGGCAAAGGACATGACCAGGGTCACTTAGCAGAATTGGGACAAGGACTGCCAGGTTGAAGCCCGTCCCTCAGCACACGAGTTCAGCCAGTTGTGCTGTGTCCAGCTCTGCCCTCTCTCCCTGTGCCTGCACTACGGCACCACGCGTCCAGGCTCCACTTTGCTGCATCCTGGGTGTGTCCACTGGGACATATTGATTCTAAAGAATTATTGGTTGTTTATCTGAAATTCGAATTTAACTGGCAGTCTTGAATTTTTATTTGCTGAATCTAGCAACCATATGCGTGTGCGTGTCTGCGTGTGTGTGTCTACGCTTACACACGTTAAAACAGAGCACAGTTAGCCCTTGGGGTTCGGTGCCATGGAGTGGAGGGAGTGTTGGCCGGACACAGCCACGTACAACAAAATGGATCCAGACTTGGACATACCACAGTCGGCTGCTGACAGTCACAGCCAGGCAGAACCAGCTTCAGCCATATGTGGTCTGATGTGACAGCTGGGCTTTGCCAGGCACAATCACTCACACCCTGACGGAACAAACTCAAGAGCCATGGTCACCTGCTGCTTGGCAACTGGCTGACCCAGCCGCACTCAGCCAGTACCGGCCCCAGCTGGACTTGGACAGACAGACTGAGGTCTGTTGGTACAGGGCCAAAGACGCACAATCGCAGAGCTCAATGAGGCTGGACACTGACAGATGCAGGTTGGGCCAAGTGGTCAGCTGGGATTAGAGGGAGCCAGAGAGAGACCCTACAGATGTGGCCAGATGGGCCAGGTCTGGGCAGACGTGTGAGGCAGGTAATGCATGCTCCCAGCACCCTGCTCTGGCAGAGGGGGTGGTGTCAGGGGGCAGGCACTGTGGGACTGAGAGGTAGCCCTGTCTGCAGTGGTTGGCCTCTGGGTGCCACTTGCCTGGGCCGGAGCCGGGATTGGCGGCGTATGACAGAGTAGCGAATGGCGATGACGCAAGCCTTCTGCAGCGTGCAGATGACGTCCGATAGCATCTCCACCCGCATCACCACCATGGAAAGATAGTTGCTCTGTGCTGTTCCGAGCTTGATGTAGGTGCCATCGGGCAAGACCTGGAGGACAAAGGACAGGTGCTAGGTCTGAGCCAAGGCTTCCTAGCCTGCCCCACACCCAGAACTGTGGCCTCCACGCCCCGCAGGCACCGGAGTTCTCAAACTGCTCACCCGGAGCAGACACAGCCGGCCAACAGCCAGAATGCACTTGAATGGCCACACTGATGGTTAAAATGGAAACATATCTGTGCTTGTGGCTAAAGTGCCACTGCCCCAAGTACCCTGGTTCACAGCTCCTCTCCTGGGACACCCTAGACCTCCCTACAGTCCACAGCTAAAGGTAATGCCTGGCAAAATGGGGACCTCTGGAACTTTCTCCAGTACCCAGCTGGTGTCTGTTCAGTGATTGGTTGTGTCCAGGCCTCACAGGTAAATATGCATGTCACCCTCAGCCTCATCCCTCTTCTTCTCAGATCACCTTGCCACCCTACCCCATGATTGCTCTGCCACCCCATGAGGTGAGACTTTACCCATGAGAAGTCTGAGGCCCAGAAAGGCCAAGTGACTTGCCCGAGATCACACAGCTGCTACAATGGGGTTTTACCCAGGTCTGTGGGAGACTCTATGGGGTGGGAGGTGCCCCAAACTCAGCTGTGCAGAGGAGGACCCAGAGCCAGCAGCAGCCTGCAGGGGGCCACTGTCCCCTCTCCAGGCATTGCAGGCCTGCAGCCTCCTGAGGCCCCCCACCTGTGCAAAGCGACTGAGCATGTTCTCCCTGGGGACCCGCACGTGGTCCAGTCGCAGGAAGCCGTTATCTATGTGGTTGAGGTCCATCTTGGGCCCAATGTTTCCAACAGTGATTCCTAGAAGGAGATGGAGACAGGAATGTCTGTCAGTCGAGCGCTGGCTGTGTGCCAGGTACCTCACACGTATTCCAGCTCATCTCAGCCTCACAGAAGCCTGTGACATTGAGGTTATTACACCTGTTTTGCAGGTGACCAAGCTGAGGTCAGATGGGTGCTGAATCTTGCTCAAGATCGCCCAGCCAGTTAGCACCAGGTCTGTCCGACTGGACCCTTCCCTGCCCAAGGGAGACATGTTCCAGCTTCTCTCATGGACTTCTGGGGCCCGGGACAGGGAGGCCTGGCAAGGTTTCCTCCTGGTGGGGGCCTGGAGGGAGCAGCAAGGGCTTACCTGGCAGTGGGCTGTGGTCCTGGAGGCTCCGGATGGGCACAATAAAGGCATGCATGCCCTGCCGGGCTCCCGAGCAGATCAGCTGGGCCTGGACCAGGGCATGGGTAGCTGACTGTCCCACTGAGGGCAGAGAGATGAGAGGCTCAGTGTGATCCCTGGGCATGAGGCCCTGGTGTACAGAGCAGACGTGCTAACCCTCTCCATCAGGAGCCTGGAGGTGGGCCCAGTCTGTAATGGGTTAGGAGAACCAGTGTGGTGGTGTGGGGAAGGGCAGGACTCTCTGTGAGGCCAGGATGGGTGTGTGTTTGATCTGCCTCAGAGGATGTGGTGGTGGGAGGATCACAAGGAGCTTGGAGGGCGAGGGGCGTTTTCCAGGGGAGCCACACAGGGAAGAGCATGCAAGGCAGAGGGAACAGTGTGCTCAGAAGCCTGAGGACTGCGTGGGCTTGGTGGGGCCAGGCAGTGGAAAAAGTAGCATTCAGGGCAGCAAAGGGATACTTGTTCAGGATACCCCTTGATCACAGGGCCTTGACTTATCCTTGGAAATGACTGGAACCATTCAAAGAACGTTAGTGTGAGCGTCTGGCTCTAGAATGCACTGGGTTGGAGGGATTTATGGAGAGCCATTTGGTGGCTGGAGGTGCAGGGGGTTCGGTCTAAATGTCAGGTATGTGTGGCAGCTGCCCTACAATTACACAGGCAGGACCCCATGGGGTAGGGAGGCTCAAGGAGGCTAATGGAGATCTTGAGGTCACCAAAGCCCTCCAAGCCCTCTGGGTGCTCCCTCTTCCAAAGGCAAAGCTCGACAAAGGCTATGGATTTTAATGAAAATAGCCTAAATGGAAGAATCTGGGAAAACTTGGCATCTTTTAAAATTTGGTTCTACTACAGTCTTCTGACTGAAGTGTGTGCCCTTGAGGCATTTTCTTTGGAATCAAGGAGACAGGATCTCTATGTCAGAGCTGCTGGGGTGTGTATGTCAGGACCTATGGCGAGAACACTAGTCCCAGTCGCAGGGAGATGTGTGCATTGCTCCCCCACCCCAGCTGATGGCACCTTTGGGGCCTCAAAAAGTTACTGATCACAGAGAGGGGGGAACCGACCCAAAAAGCCAAACAAATCCAGCAGGGACTTGCCAAAGGCAGTGCGGAGTGGGCAAGCTTTTTTTTTTCTGTCCTCGAAAACCTACTAATGAATCACTCTGCCATCAAGCTAATAATAATGAATACAGATAATTACGGTTTATCAAAATCCAGGTAGTGCCAGACCCTGTGCTGGTGCTTTCCAGTTCTTCCAGGGTAGGTCTGATGAGTCCCATTTTCCAGAGAAGGAAACTGAGGCTCAGAAAGTAGAGTGCTGTGTTCAAGGTTTCTGGAGGGAGCAGAGCTGGGATTTGAACACTGCCTGATTTCAAAGGCTGGTTTCTTTTGTCTGTAGTTTTGGCAGCGGTGATTCATTCTCTCTCTCTCTCTCTCTCCTCTCTCATTGCTCATTCTCTCTCTCTCTCTCTCCTCTCTCATTGCTCATTCTCTCTCTCTCTCTCTCCTCTCTCATTGCTCTCGCGTTGCTCTCTTATTTCTCTTGCCTCTGTCTCTATTTCTCTCTCCCTTGCTCAGTCTTTCTCCCTGTCTCTGCTTATCTCTGATCTCTCTGTTTCTTTCTGCTTTGGTTGGACTCCTCACATTCTTTATATTTTTTCCCCATAAAAGTGTTTCACCAGATGGGTCCCTAAGTGCCACAGATGTGTGCTCAGAGGAGTATTCTCAAATCAGAGGAAGAGGGCCTTAGTGGGACCCCTCACGGTGCGATCGCCACCTGGTGGCCGATGGGGGAGGTGCGGTGCCAGTGGCCTGATGGGCGCTGATGGGCGCTGGTGGGCGCTGATGAGCGCTGGTGGGCGTGAGCCTTTCCGGGTGTCTGGAGCAGGGGCAGGGAGGGATGTTTTTCTCTAACTGTGTAATCGCAGAGCTCTGTGCTCTGGCTGGTGGCAGGCTTTGGGAGATGAGAGGCACTGGGGTTGTGGGAGTGCCTGGGACTAGGCCAAGGAGGGGTGTGTGTGTGTGTTGTGTGCATGCACATGTGTGTATCTGTGTGGGTGTAGTGTGTGTGAGAGAGACCTTGGCCCTCATGCCCTAAAGGTTGAGTCGGTTTCCTCAGCAGCTTCAAAGTTCCTTTGGGGTCCTCTCAGCCACTCACTGACAAAATTCTTCATATCCCACCTATTTTACGGAGTAAAACCTTGAGGCTCAGGGAGGTGAACTGACTTGCCCAAGGTCACCAGCCTAGAATAGGGAATCAGTCTGAGGTCTGTTGGACGTGAAAGTGCTGTTCTGGCATCCAGCTTTGTTCTCCTTGGGGACAGATGGGGCTGTGGGATGGATGGATACTCACGGTCCCCAGGCCACCATTTGGTGGCAGTCATCGTGGGGCTGTGCACCACAAACTCCTGGGTGGCTGCATCGTAGGTGGCTTCAGTCTCCAGGCCCGGAAGATATGTCCCTTGGAATCAAGGAGAGGAGTTAGACATCAGGCCAGGAGGGACTCTCACCTGGGGAGCAGTGTCTAGGTGGGCCTGGACTCGCAGGCACCAGCCCAGCATGGATTCACAGGCCTAGCTCCCAGCTGTACCCACAGGCGTTTCTCCTTTCACCCATGGGCTGTCCGGGGGACACAGGCCAGCCCAGGACAAGGGATGGTTGCTGACATGTCTAGAAGGGATGACCTACCCCACTGCTAGCTCATACAATGTTTGTGTAGATTAGAAAAAGGCACCCCTTCCTCAAGACCCCTGACTGCCATCTGCTGTAACGTTTTCCTAATAAATAGACAAATCTATGACTACTGAGATGTGGCTGGGCCCTCTGGAACTGTGTAGTGCACAGCCTGTACCCCGTATGCAGCAGGCCTGGCTCACCATGTCCCAATTCCGTCTGGGCGTATGTTGCGATGATCTGGAACCTGTGGCAGAGCGGGACCCATTTGGCAATCTGCTCCTCCGAGCCCAGGCTCCTGAGGGCTTTTAGGAAGATGTTGTGTAAACTGAAGGCCAGATTTCCAGAAAGGGCTCTGTGGGGGAGAGACGCTGTGGTTGAGCAGCCCATGGGAGACAGGGGCCCAGGTACCCTTAGCTTGAACAGGGTGCAGGAGGGAAGGGGCACCTGGCTTCCTGGGTCCCCAACAAGCATTGCCTTTGTTGGGGACAACAGCTCCTGGGGCTAGGGGTTTCTGGGTAATCCCAGGTGAATTCCTCTCTGGTGGGGCTGCCCTGGGAGTGAGCACCTGTAAGCGTAATATAGTTCAGGACCGTCTTCTGCCCAGCCCAGGCGCTGTGCTGTCATCTGGTAGTGGAATTTCTTCTGAACGGCGGCCTCATAGCATTCATTTTGGGTCAGGAAATAATTATCTTTGAGGCTAAACGCTGGGTCATTGTGGATGATGTTCTCTGCCAGGGACAGAGAAGAGAGGGCTTAGAGACCTGAGTGAGGTTCCTGGTGCCTTCAAATCTTCCCACCCAGTTGCCTCATGGACACGGAAAGGAAGTCAGACGTTACTGTCCTTTTATAGGCAAGATACCTGAGTCCCAGAGGGGGAGAATGACTCGCCCAAAGTTACAAAACTGTGCAGTGGCGGAATAAGGGCCAGCATCCAGGTCTTCTGCTGCCTAGGACTTTTCTATCCCTCAGATGGGCTCCGGGAATATTGATATGTTAAAGATGCCCTTATAGTCCAAAGGAATGAATCTCTAACAGTTGAGTTTTGAGAGCAAAGTTTGCTATTTGAAGGTGGGACTGTTGTGAAGGACTCTTCTTCCAGGAAAAGCACACGGGCACAAAGTAGATGCTCCATTCCCCAGCCTCCTCTTACCGACTTTCCTCCGGAGTGCAGTGTTCTGGGCCCCTCCATCAAGGATGTTGGTGAGCCGCTCCACATCGAAGGACTGCTTGTACCTCTCGCTCTCTATGTCGGGGTGCACTTGCCTGCTCCAGGTATCCCCCATTGACACTCGGTGCACTGGGCTGCCCATCCTCGCCTGGATCCGCCTGGCGTCTGAGGAGAGATACTGCTGGCCTGGCCGTTCTGAGCCTTGGGCGGTGCTGAGAACCTGTGTGCGGGAGGGGCTGCGCAGGGCAGAGTGTCAGCCAGGGTTGCTTGACGGAGGCAAGCAACTCCCCTGAAATACTTGAGTGCCGCTCCAGCCCCACGCTCCTCCCTGGGGGCACTGGCTGAGTACCAGCATCGTCTAGGCATTGTGTGCAGTAACTGCTCAGTAAATGGTAGTTCATTGCGTGTGAGTCAGGATTTGGACAGGGTCTCGTCACCAAGCTCACGCCGTCCAGTCAGTGAAGGTCACACACGAAGAAGATTAATCTTAGAGAGGTTAAGTATGTGTCCTCTAGCCACATGTCTGTGCCACAAAGCACATGCTCCTTCCAGGCTACAGCCCCATCATGGGGGCTCACTGGGGGGACCTGTGGTCCCAATTCACCATTTGACCCATTTCTGTGCGCCTTGAGGGGTACTGTGGAGCTGAGGGGAGGAAGCTTGCTGCTTGTCTGTGAAGAGTTCCCCTTGAAACCCCTGTGTGGCCCCAATAGCCAGAGTGGACCCTGCATCCTCACAGCAAGCCCTGGGCCTCTTAGAAGCCCCTGTTCCCCACCAGGTGCAGTCCGTTCTACTTCTCGAATCTCTCAAATCTATCTGCTCCTTTTCCATCCCCGCGGCTACCGCTCAGGCCACCATCATCTCTCACCTGGCCTCAGGGTCACTCTTGTCTGTTCTCCCGGCGGCTAAGGCAAGCTCTTAAACTGCAGTCACATTGTTTTCCACCCCTGCTTGGAATCTGTCCTCCATACCCACTGTTTGTGGAAAGGAGCCCATGCTCCCTGCCATCCAACCACCCCCACCTCTCTCGCCCCTTGCCCCCTATCTCCTGCTCCCCCTACCCCGGGCCTCCTCTCCCTCTCCCCCTACCCGTTGCGCCCGCTGTTTCCCCTGGTGTTCCTAGTGAGCCCCAGCCTCCAAGGACCCTTCCCCTAAGAAGCCTTCTTGACTGCAGCGCCCCCTGGGGGAATAGAGCACCCCTTCAGTGTCCCCATTGGGCGCTTTTAGAGTGGATAATAAGGGACAGTTCCTTATTTACTGGACTGTCCCTCTTCCAAGGCAGTGAGTGCCTGGGGGTGCTGGCTCTGCTTTGTCTTGGGGCCCAAGAGCCTAGCTCACAGGAAGCGGGCTGTAAATCTTTCCCGCAGGAGGCCACTATTTTGATTCCCTTCCTTCTTCCCCACAACCCCACTGACATGCTACTATTATTATTACCATTTTATAGAGAGGACAGGAGCCTCGGGAAGGGAGGAGACTTTGTAAGGTCATGCAGCCACATGTAGCAAGTGGGGTTCATATGTAGGCTTCCAAACTGATATCCTTAAGTGGGTGGCAGGGCCAGGGGGGTGTTGACAACGGGCCCAGCAGGTTCAAGGAGCCCCCATCATCTGCCCCCTGGATGCCTGCGAGGCCACCTAGCCCATCTCCTCTCTTCCTGCCCCACCTCCTCTCTGCCTCTTGCCCCCTCCACTCCAGCCACCGCTGCCTCCTTGCTGTGCTGGAACACTCCAGGCCTCACCCCTCACCCCCCAGCCTCTGCTGGGGCTGTGTCCTCTGCCTGGAACGTGCTTCCCCGGGTGTCCTCCCGGCTCCCTCGTTGCCTCCTTCAAGTCTTTGGTCAATGTCACCTTCTTAGCGAGGCCCTCCTGACCACCCTCCTTAAAATCCCAAGCCCCCTCCCCTGGCAGTCCTCCTCCTCACTCTGCTCTCCTTTTTCTCTTTTCACTTATCCTAACATACAAGATAATTTGCTCATTTATCACGTTTTTGTTTATTGCTGTCTCCCCCTACCACAGGTAAACTCCAAGAGTGCAGGTAGGATCCTTGTCACCTGTAGCCCCAACACTCAGCACAGGACTGGGTCCGCTGGCCGAGTCCACCTAGTAAATCAGTGTTGAATGAAAGAAAGCAGTGCTCAGAGTCATTAGGAGTGGCAAGGAGGGTTACTACTAGGGTGGTCCAGTCCTCAGGGTCTCCCAGTCCCTCCCCTGTCCTCGGCCTGACTCACCTTTGTCCTGTGTTTGCACTGTAGGTGTGGCCTGGCCTCTCTAGCTGCCGGCCTAGGCCTCTTGCTGGCAGCTGCCTATCCCCTTTCTCCTCCCCTACAGGGGCCGGAACACTGAAGACTGAAGGCTCTGCCTGGCAGGCTCTCAGCTCTTGGCTGAGCTCACTGCGTGTTCTCTCCTGCCCCCTCGGTGGATGTGACTGTGCCCAGCACTGGGGCTGCCCCAGGTGGAATGCTGTGAGGATGAGGTGGGATAGATAGCTTAGCACGAGGCTGGCTGGGCAGCTCAGTGAGGACCAGCTATGGAGCTTTCTCTTCCTTTCCCTGCCTATCTGGCCCCGCCTCCCAGAGCCTGGTCCTGGTGAAATGCACACACTTTTACTGGACATAAAGAAATACCACAGCCCTCACCTGGAGTCCAGAGACTTGGGTTCAAATCCTGGAGATGTGACTCTGAGTTCCTTCACCTCTTGAAGCTTCCCTCCCCTTTTCTGTAACTCACAGGGTCTAAAGGAAAGCTCTTGGTCAACTGTAAAACCCGGAGCATTTGTAACTCGAGATTATCACTGTTTTCTTGCTTTCCCATGAAAGAATTTCTTAACTCCCAGGAGTGATGTTTAATGGTGGAATTTCGGATTCTTTGCCTGTCTGCTGGTGAGATGGTTATGGGCTGGTGCGTGAGGCCTTAGGTTGCACAGGATGTGTTGATTTGTTTACTCATCAATACATATTTTTGAGTGCCCACAGTGATCTAAGCACTGGGGTACAGCAGGAAGCAAAACCAAAACAAAACAAAGCTGTCCTAGTCCCTTGCCCTTGGGGCATGTCCAAGAGGGGAGTTGGGGCTGCTGGGGAGAAGGACAGTCACAATAGGACCGAGCAAGAGACCTAGATGGGATACTCACAGCCACTTCTGATGACTTTGTAACTTTTTTGAGCTTGAAACCTACTTGCCCTCTTTACCTGTTCCCGCTGTCCGCAAGCACCCCTGCTTTCCCTGTGCAGCTCCTCTTCACCTTTTCATCTCACCACAGATGTTACAATCTCTCGGGAAGTCATCCCAGTCTGGATTAGAAGCTCCTGGATCAGCTTTCTTAGCTCCAAGCCTTTGCCCTTTGTGGTATAACAAAAAATATACATTTGGTCTTTCTCCCCTGTTCCTGGCACAGAGCTCCTAAGAACCCTTGGAATCTCCTGAGTGATAAGACTGTCTTTTGTATCTATGGCTGGGGGCCCATAGATAGCTTCAGGATAGGGGCTGGTTGCCAGAAAGGCCAAACCTTAATGAGAGGGTTGGAACTTTTAGTTCTTTCCACTCCCCTCCCTCCCTCCCCCGACCTCCAGGAAGAGGAGAGGGGCTGGGGATTGGTCAATCACCAGTGGCCAGTGATGTAATAAATTATGCCTGCATAATGAGACCTTAATAAAAATCCCTAAACAACAGGGCTTGGGGAGCTTCTGAATTGACAAGCACGTGGAGGTGCTGGGTGGGTGGCGTGCCCCGAGACGGCACAGAGGCTCCACGCTGCCTGCCCGCATACCTCGTCCTCTGCATCCCTTCCAATCGCCTCTTTCTGAATTGTATCCTTTATAATAAACCGGTAAACATAAGTAAAGTGTTTTCCTGAGTACTGTGAGTCATTCTAGCAAATTATTGAAGCCGTGGAGGGGTGTAATGAGCGGTTAATAATGGATTGTCCACTCGCTTTTGTGTCTTTCCACAATGCCAAATTTATTGGGGTAAATTCAAAGGATCTCACCGTAAGTGGTGGAGGTCCAGGAACGGTGGTAACAGCCCAGCGTTACTTTACAGAAACTCAATCAAACATCACATATTAAATCAGATGAGTATCGTAAAAACATGTTAATTAACACCAAACACAGCATTCCATATGCAAGGGGTTACGAACCAAAGTCCTAAAGTCCTTGGCACGGTCCAGGGTGTCAGAAAGGGAAATCGGTCCAGCTGAAGGGCACGGCGAGAGGCACGGGAATCAGCAAGGTGACCAGCAGTGAGTCGTCCTCTCTCTGGGATGACTCACTGGCGTTACTGTTCCTTCCTCTCTCCTTTTTATGCTGCTTCTGCATCTTATCCAGGTCTGCAGTTGTGCTGTCTGGTTATCTCTGGGTGTGTCTGTGGGTGTTCCTTTCAGGCATTGTCAGTTACACCCATAACTCCATTTTCTTGTGCGGAGTCCTTAGCATGAGTTCTTCCATTTTGTATGCTCTCTACAATGGGGTTGTGAGAACCCCTGCATTTATAGCCAGTAGGTCAGAAGTACAAGTGGCCCCTGGCATTTGCAACTGATGTCTGAAGTGAGGGCAGTCTTGTGGGACCTAGCCCTAAATCTGCAGGATCTGCACTAATCCCAAGAGTTAGTGTCATAATTGAATTGAATGGACAGCCAGGTGCTGTTGAGAATTGGATGCTTTGTTGTTGGTGTGGAAAAACCATACATTTGGTGTCAGAAGTTGTGTTAGAAAAAGGCACCATACCCTTGGTACTCTCACTACAGTGGTGGCTGTTTTTCTCTTTAACTCTTGGTTTTCATCTAAATCACTAATGAAAGCAAGGAGTGTTTTGTTCCTGGTCACCAATGCAGTGCCAGCCCCAGCCCAGGGCCTGGCCCAGGGTAGGTGCTCAATAAATACTTGGTGGGTGAATGAATAAACAAAGGTTGGCAGAAACCATCAGGATTTTCTACCCCAAGGGCATGGCCAAGCTTGAGGAAGGACTCTGGAGTTTTTTTAAAGGTAGGGGTTGGTGTGTGTGTGGGTCTACCCTATTTGTCCGCATTTGTGTACTCCAACATGAGACCCAGCCCTCCAGTCTCAAAGCTGGGGATTCCTTTGGGACTACTTGTACCAAAAAGCTGTGTACCCAGCTGTGTTTCCAAAGTGATCCTGATCTTTCTGCCCCTTTCCTGGTCTTTCCTCATGGCTCCTGCCGTCCTGTGCCCTTCAGGAACTCAAGCTGTCA